TTTCATTTCACCTAGGAGTAGAATTGCTGGGTCTTACAGTCAAGTATATTTATCTTTGTAAGAAATTGCCACTTTCTTTTCTTTTTTATTTTTAAGATTTATTTTATTTTTTTAAGATATCATTTATTTATTTGACAGAGAGAGAGAGAGAGAGCACAAGCAGAGGGAGCAGCAGACAGAGGGAGAGGAGGAAGCAGGTTCCCTGCTCCTGTGGGGCTCCATCCCAGGACCCTGAGATCATGACCTGAGCCAAAAATCAAGAGTCGGCCACTTGACCGACTGAGCCACCCAGGTGCCCCACCACTTTATTTTCCAAAGTGACTGTACCATCTTATTTTCCAACCAGTAATGTCTATACTTGGTGTTGCCAGTATTTTAAATTTTGGCCATTCTAATGGGTGTGTAATAGTATCTCACTATGGTTTGTTTGTTTTCACTCTCTAATTGAAGTGTAGTTAACATATAATCTTATGTTAGTTTCAGGTGTCAAACATGGTGATTTGACAGTTATATACATCATGAAACGCTCACCACCATAAGTGTAATTTCCACCTGCCACCATACAAAGTTATTACAATATTATTGACTATATTCCCTACGCTGTTCTTTTCATTCCCGTGACTTAGATTCATTCCTGTAGTTAAAAGTTTGTACCTCTTAATATCTCTTAATGTAACTACTAGAACTTTTAATTTACATATGTGGCTTCCATGTTATTTCTGAGAGACTGAATATACAAACAGTGGCCAGACCATATTTAACAATAGAACTCTGACCCACAACATCTGCAGCAATTGGCCTAGAAAAGTCAGGACTTGGTCAATGAGTCCAACTTCCCTATTAGTTGCCCCCAGTTACTCCTCAGAAAACAGGAATAGTTAAGAAATCCTTTCTCCCTTTGTGTTCCAAGAAAAGGATAAATGCAAAAGACCAATTTGCTTTTGCGTATTCCAACATAAAACTCACCTCTACCCTTTCTCAACGACTCCCTTGTTTTACAAAACCTCAAAATTTAACCCTCTTCTTTGAGATGTTTCTGGACGGAAGTTCTCCCTATTGCAACAGCCTGAATGAAAGCAATCTCCTTCATTGTCTGGGGGATTTCCTCTTTCACTTATTGCTACCCACTCTCCAACCACTAACTTTTAGAGCCACATTACTTTCTGTTTGTTATGATAACACCCCACTTATACCAGCTTTCTGAATTATTTAGAGTAATGTTAGCAGCTGTAACAAAGAGGCCTCAGAATGCAATATTCCTATCAAAATCCAGGCTGTCTTTAACACAGAATCATTCTAGTCATCACCATTCTATCCATCATGAAGGAGGAAAGAACGTACCCAGGCCAAAAATTTTCTAAGAAATTGAAGTAGAAATTCCAGATACCTCATTTGCTCCCAGTACACTGGTAAGAACCTAATCACACAGCCCCACCTAGCTGCAAAGAGGACTGGGAAATGTAGTCCCTAGTTGGGCAACCAGACTGAGCTATACCTCTGAGACTAAGAATTGCAGTTCTTCCCTAAGCAAGCTATCTTTAGGTATGGAAGAAAGAGGGAACAGATTTTTTTAAATGTCTCAATGAAAACATGAAAGGAAAGAGAATCTTTAGGATAATGGTGGTAGGAGACCCTAGGAAGAGTTTTATATCAGAGGTAGAGGGCAAGAAATCCAGATTGGAACAGGTCAAAGTCTCTGGGAAAGATATTCAAGAAAATGTGTCTAAACACCTAGAGAGGAAATTTAGGCAACTGATGGAAAATGTGCATTATCCATTAGACAACCATTTACTGAGCACCTATGCTATGCCAGGCACTGTTCTAGGTGCTAGAGAATAAAACAGCGTATAAGTACCAAAATCATTGCTTCATGGATCTTACAATCTAGTGGAAATTCTAGAGCATTTGGGGTTGAATTAGTAAGTCTGTAGAAAACTAGCAAATGCTTAAAAAAAAATTTTACCCCACCCTGAAGGCAACCACATTCAACTCTTTCAGCCAATTCTTTTAGTATTTCTGTTTGTAAATTAATATGGTTACATTGCCACTTCTGAAGTTTTTCCCGTTTGCATTACATGTTGACTTCCCAGATGAACAATGAGGATTTTGCCCCTTTTGATCTTTGTCCTCACCACACCTATGAACCCTTTCCCCCGTAGCCTCTCACTAAAGCTAAATTACAATGTCGGTTAGATCGACATTCAAATTTTAACATTTTTATGATTATATAAACACTATTAGTAGCCAAATCATATAATAAATTGTCGTTAGTTTAATTTTTCTTTGCAAGCTTTATTTTCCTAGGCTTGGGACACTCTTCCCTCCCACTTTTTGCCTAGTTAACTCTTATGTATCTTTCAAGTCCTAGTGTAAATGTCACATTTCAGGAAAGCCCTCAAGCATTCTTTTCCTTTACCCCACAAAGGTAAACGGGATTACTTAATACCCTCCTTAAAAATACAGGCTTGGGGGGCGCCTGGGTGGCTCGGTTGGTTAAGCGACTGCCTTCGGCTCAGGTCATGATCCTGGAGTCCTGGGATCGAGTCCCGCATCGGGCTCCCTGCTCAGCGGGGAGTCTGCTTCTCCCTCTGACCCTCTTCCCTCTCGTGCTCTCTATCTCTCGTTCTCTCTCTCTCAAATAAATAAATAAAATCTTTAAAAAAAAAATACAGGCTTGGAATGGGGGCAGAAGTGCTGTTACTGGTGGTGGGGTAAAAATCCTGCCATAGAGATGTACTCTTTTGGACCCTACCCTGGCCGCTTACATTTTCATAACTACTTATTAGTAGTATCAAATGTCTTCCCACAGAAAAAAATAGATGTTACAGTTATTCACATTATAGAATAATGACATCTCAAAAACATCAGTGTCTCTTTAAGTAAATCTGAGCAACTGGTTGTTTTTAAGTAATTAAATACAGAGGGAGAAACCTAAAACTGAAGTGTCCCTAGCCACTGCTGACTTGGTACCCATCTGCAATTTCTTATGAAACAAATCTTAGCTTATTATGACTTAAAAGCCGACATTTTCATATTACTGGTCACGAAGCTAAAATATGGGATTTCTCCATTTAATATGAGGGACTTGGCAACCCTCTCCGCTAAACAAATGAATAAATGAATGAAGTGTGGTAGTGCCCCGGATTTGAAACTCTGTTTTCTCAGCTCACCCAAACTCACAGAGCCAGATGTATAATCCAGTATGCCAATTAATTAGTTCACAACGAGAAGTACAAATGACCTCCCTTTGTCCTAAGTAGGGCTTGAGATTTGAATTCAGTTCTTGTTCTTGGACTCCCCACTTTCCAGACTCCATTCAGATCATCCTTCTGTTAACAAGCTCTATTTTCAGCTGCTGATACTGCAGTTTTCTCAGGTACATTCCAGGCCGAGGAGAAACATGCTATTTCATTGCTGAACTTGGATATTTTCCAAATTTCCTCACTAAAAGGTTACCCCTAGATTTGATCTTCTGTGTGTGCTGATGCCACCATCTTCATCCTGAGGGTATCTCCATTGTTTTACTATGCTTTATTGTACTTCACAGATACTTCTTTTTTTTTTTTTTTTTTTTTACAAATTGAAAGTTTGTGGCAACACCATTGGGAGCAAGTCCATTGATGCTATTTTTCCAAAAGTATGTACTCACTGGGTATCTCTGTGGCAGGTTTTGTAATTCTCGTGGCATTTCAAACATTTTCGTTATTACTATATTTGTTATGGTGATCCCTGACGGGTGATTATGACCTGCTGAAAGTTCAGATTACAGCATCTATTTTTTTAAGATTTACTTATTTATTTGGGGAGGGGAGGAGCAGAGGGAGAGGGAGAGAATCTCAAGCCGACTTTCCACTGAGCGCTCAGCCCGATGTGGAACTCCATCTAATGACCCTGAGATCATGGCGTGAGCTGAAAGCAAGAGGACGCTTAACTGACTGGGCCACCCAGGCGCCCCCGGACGACAGCATCTTTTAAGCAATATTTTAAAAATTAAAGTATGCATCTTCTTTTAGACATAATGCTATTGCACACTTAATAGACTACAGTATAGCATACACATAATCTTTGTATTGGGACACCAAAAAATTCATTTGATTCACTTTTTTACGATTTTCGCTCTATTGCAGTGCTGTGGCACAAAGGAGCGGTATCTCTAAGGTAAACCTGTACACACCTTCTGCAGGAACCTGCCAAAGCAATCTGGCTGTTTCCAGCTTCTAGGCAGAGGCAGACCAGGTATGTTTTCAGGTATGAGCTTGCCTCTCAATTAGGAACTGGTCCTCGAACCGAGTGCTGGAGATGACAGCAAAGGGCGTTTGGGGTTTTTCACAGTGCCCCTTATCTAAATGCATACCTCCTTCAGTGGGATAAGACTTTATCCAGCTGAGGGAAAGTCACTGCATGGGTTTCAGGCAGGGCTCCAGAGAAAGGAGCAAAAAAAAAAAAACAAAAACAAAAACAGAAACAAAACAAAACCAGGACCAAAAGAAGGTGGGTGGATTCCAAGGGCTGTTTCACCCACTAATTTTGCCCAGATACGACCACAAGCTGTCCTTGGGCTTATGCTTTCAGGATGCTGCGGTCTCTGACCTGGGCAAGGTCTCCTACCACGAATTGATAAACCGGACATCGGCAGTTCCCTCCTTCACACTTGCACAGCGTGAAAAACTGCAACACGCCAACCTTGGCCACGACGCCCGTCTCCCCGAAGCCCTGTACGACCTGCCTTTTGCCCATCTCCAAGATGGCGGCCTCTCCGCCCCGCCCCCGCATGAGCGGACCCGCCCCTCCTCCCGCCCGCGGGGCCGCGCCGCGCGCTCCCGGCGCCCCTCCCCGCGCGAGCTCCACCCAGGTCGCAGGCAGCGCGGTCGGCGGCGCCTATTTCCCGCCATTGTGCGAAGTGGAGGTTGGGGGCCCGCACGCGCCGCCTGCCCGTGGCCAGCTGCTCCTCGGCTGTCGTCGCCACAGCCGCCGTTCCCTGAGGCGTGGGGAGGCCGGGCGGCCCGCGCCCCGAGGCTCGCCGTGCGTGGGAGGGCGCGGGCGACCAGCGGCCGAGCCCCCGAGGAGGAGCCGCGGCGCGGGACGCCGGGCCGCGCCGGCCCCGGCCCGTCGGCGAGATGCCCTGCGGGGAGGATTGGCTCAGCCACCCGCTCGGGATCGTGCAAGGCTTCTTCGGTGAGTGGCGGCGCCGGGGGCGGGCCGCCGAGTTTGCCGAGCTCGGGGCCCGGCCCCGCCGCGCGGCCCCACGCGGGGCTCCCCCGAAGGCTCTCGCGGCCGGCCGGGCCTGCGCGGGCGGCGCTGAGGCACCCCGGTGCGGGTGCCCATGCCCGGGCCCGGGCCGCGGCTTCCCCCGCCGGCCGCAGGTGCTTCCCACCTGCCCGATTCGCGATTCGCGATTCGCGAGCGGCCAAGGTTACGCGGCTAGGAGCCGGCGGTCGGCCGTGATTGCCGGCCTCGCTCCCCTCCGTGGCGCGCCGGGGGCCAGCGGCCCCCGTGCGGCGGTTCGCGGAGGGGTCCTTGAACCCTCGGGGACCCGCTGAGACGGGGCGAGGAAAAGCACTTTGCCTACGGGGAGCCTGCAGGATATTTCAAAACTTCCGGTGTGTTGGGGGAGTGCTCGCTCGGAGCAGAAGTTGGCTCTAACTACTGTATTACACACATCCTCCCTTTTCGAGACAAGATTGGGTATAAGAGCTTAATTTTTTTCTTAGGACGACTTTAAAACCTGCCTGGTAGACGTCTCCTCTCGTGCCAGAGCTAGCAAGAAATGTGGAACTACTCAGATGAGCTCCTACGTAGAAGAGCTGAGAATGCTGCAGGCAAGCTTAGTAAATTGTAGTGCAGTTTATTTGTAAATGCTACTTTCCAGTTAAGCGTCCATGAGGGCAAATTTAGGCTTGTGTGCGGTTAACTGGTCATTTTGGCCCCCTCCCCCCATTTTTAACTTAGGAGTGGTGGAGGCAAACCAGGAATCACTTAGATTGTAGCACCTGGAGATAACTTAGCGTTGTAGGAGTGGCCTTAGCTCATTTGAAAACACCGTGGGATATTGGTGAGAACGGCTAATGAGAGCTAAATACTCTCCAGCAGCCAAAATCAGTGGCGTAAACTCCATGTATTTCTTGTAGGAGGGACTCAGCGACTCTCTTCATTTTCCCTATAATTTGAACTAGTTTAGTTTTCTGGTTTCCCAGGCCGAAACTAGAAGCAGCACATTAGAAGAAGGCGTGGGTAGGCATCCGGATTGTAGTCCGTGAACACTGACAACCCGATAAAAAAGAAATCTAAAACTATGTGTATGTATATTTTTAAAAAGTAAAAAAAAAAAAAGCACCTATATTCATAGGGTGCTTTGAGGAAGGGGCACATTTACCTCCACTAAATCCTAGTAATTGGTGTTCACAAAGAATACTGGAGCCCATAATTGATGTCTAAAATAATGGCCCCGAAATGGGGCCTGAAGATTAAACTGCACAGTTGGTGGGTGTAGATGCATAGGTACTTTTTAGGGAAAATCGTCAAAAGTAAAAAGTTTTGGTGCTTAAGGGCAAAGTTCCAGTTACGGATATTTAGAAAATTTATTGATGAGAAATACCCCATACCTTAGTCTTGAAGGATACACGAGATGATTTTATATTTGATGTAGTTTTGAAAGTATTTGTCAGATTTTGCATCCTGAGTGCATGATCCCAAGGGGCACATCTATTTATAGTACAGAAAGGGTATGTTTGGGTATAAAATGCTGGCTTTATGATATTTTGTAAATTGTGGGCACCTGGACCTTGTTGATTGTGTTTCCCCACAGGATGTCTTCTTTTGCCATATAGATTGTGTTACGGTTTAGAAAATAACACTGCTTTGTAGTCAATGATTTTTTTTTTTTTTGGTAGAAGCTGTTCTGAAATACATATTTTTACTGTATTTTTTATCACCGTGAATATGTTGAAAGCCTTTATAATAACAGCATTATAGGTATGTTTCTCTGAGATGTAAGTCAAGTGTTAAACTTGTAGACTTACTTCGGTTTTGTAGTAAATTGTTTTAAATTGATTTTTCACCCAGATAGAGAAATGTCTCTTGTGGTTTATGGGGCCTTTCTTGGCTCCACCCCTACCCAGCTCTCAGACCTCATCATTGCATTCCCTCTCCTATTGAACCCTTTTTCAGTTCTTTGATTTTGAACCTTGCCTCTAGGCCTTTCTGCATCAGCTGTTTCCTTTGCCTGGTCCCCTCCTTGCACTTTCCTGGCTAACTCTTACTTTTCTTTCGGGAACGTAAGTTAGGTACTCCCTGCTTCGATCACTACAGGATCCTGTGTCCTGGAAAGGACACATGTGTTAACTTTAAAAATAAAACTGCCAGTTACTTTACCAGTAAAAATGGGTTTTTTGGGAAATAACAGAGAAATTGCAATTTGGGACTTGCAAGCTATGGCAAACCTTAGACAAGTCCCGCAAACAAAGGAGAGGAACTTTATTTTACAGAGAAGAAGTTGGGATGGATTATTTTTGAAGGAAAGCCCATTGGAGAAAAGCAGTTGAGGGTGATGCTGGTTCCTCAATGGCTGAGTTGTAGGGATAGTAGACTTGTGGGAGATGCAGTGTACATCTCACCCTGTTGGGCCCTGTAATTGATGATTCTTTCCTGTTGAAGATTCTTCTTGTTAGGGGTCTGTAATTGATAGTTCTTCTTGTAATTGTCATTGGGTGGTACAGCTCCCCTTTTAAGCTTCCCCTTCTAGCATCCCAGGTCCACTTTATTTATTTTTCTTAATTTTTTTTTAATAATTTTTTTTAAGATTTATTTATTTGAGAGTGAGAGCATGAGAGGGGCGAGGGTCAGAGGGAGAAGCAGACTCCCCGCTGAGCAGGGAGCCCAACGTGGGACTCGATCCTGGGACTCCAGGATCGTGACCTGAGCCGAAGGCAGTCGCTTAACCAACTGAGCCACCCAGGCGCCCATATTTTTCTTAATTTTTTAAAAAAAGATTTTATTTGCCAGAGAGAGAGAGAGGGAGCACAAGCAGAGGGAGCGCAGGCAGAGGGAGAAGCAGGCTCCCCGCTGAGCAAGGAGCCCGATGTAGGACTCCATCCCAGGAACCTGAGCCAAAGGCAGATGCTTAATGACTGAGCCACCAAGGCATCCCTTTTTTTCTTAATTTATTTTTAAATATTTTATTTATTAGCGCTTGCGCACGCGTGAGCGGTAAGAGGGGCAGAGGGAGAAGCAGACTCCCTGCTGAGCAGGGAGCCCGATGCGGGGCTCGATCCCAGGACCGTGGGATCATGACCCGAGTCAAAGGCAGATGCTTAACCAACTGAGCCACCCAGGCGCCCCCCCCCCCCGCCCAGGTCCACTTCAGTGAGGTTTCCCTTTAATAATTTTCACATAATACAAAGCAAGTTATTGAAAGAACTTGTTTCCTGGGTTCCTTTTGCTACATTTTTTGCTCAGGGAATCCAGGGCCTGTATCTGACTTATTCACCAGTATATCCTCATTGCCTGTAATACACCTTGTACATTAAAAATGCTCAGTGAGTATGTGCTGAATAGAGGCAGTGAAAAGACTGATTAATCAATCAGAAATGGTGTCAATTGGGCTGGTTACTGTGACCACAAGTCTCAGACTTAGGACAGTCCTGGTGGACCTCAAGTGATTTCAGAGGATTCATGATCCTACGAGGTATGACTTATTTTCACATGCAAGTCCTAATTCTGTCTCTGTCATTCAGATAGGAAACTTTGAAATTCTGTGAGTGGCCAATCATAACTACAAGGGTCATAATTCATCTTTGTGAATCAATCTGTATTTTCATTTTGTATTTGCCATATTACAATTGTTCATATGTAAATTTTTTCCTGTAAGCCTTCATAAAATATCTTTAATGTTTCCCTTGGAGTTCCTAAAAAATTTTATGTACAGAACATTGAGATCCAAAGGCTTAAATTAGGATTTAGAAATACTTTAGTTCAACATATCCTTGTCTGTCTCTGTTATGTGCACAGTGCTTAGTCCCTACAGTGATGTTCATTTAGTGATCCACATCAAATCACTTCTTTTAAACAAAGGCAGGAATCTTTAAAAAAAAAAAAAAAAATTCTGTATGCTTTTTTCTCTTAATCATTTAATATTTAAAATAAATTTTTTTTACTTGAATTAATAACTACTGTTAATTTTGGAAAAGGAACGCGTATCGACTCTGATTTCTTTCACTCTTTTCTCTTTAGATTGTTGGTTGGGTCAAGATCATTAATTAGTTATATTCAAGGTACTTTGGTTGTATCTAACAACTAGACTAGCTCATGCAAAAGGCAGTGGTGTATGGAGGAGGGTAGGGAGTATTTGATCACTAGCATTTTATTTATTTTTTAAAGATTTATTTGAGAGAGAAACAGTGCAAGCCAGGGGGAGGGGCAGAGAGAGAGTCCCAAGCCGACTCAGCACTGAGCACAGAGGCATGGGACTCAATCCCAGGACCCAAGATCACGACCTGAGCCGAAACAGTGAGTCAGATGCCCAACTGACTTCGCTACCCAGGTGCCCTTGATCACTAGTATTTTAGAGAATTTAAAGCAATAATAAAATTGACTAAAAGTCAGTCTGCTTTTTTATTGTCACCATGATTCTAGACAATTTGTCACCTTTTGTTTATACCCACCTTAGATCTCTCCTATTCTGATCTTGGTAGGCCACTGAAAAAAGGCATTTGTTATAAGGCTGTAGAACCCAAAGATAGGGAGGGTGTCTTGGCATCCCAAGAGACGAATCAGGAACTGGAAAGATAGCAAGAATCTAAGCAACTCTTGTCAGTTTTTTCCCTTAGGCCACATTCATCTCTGTACATGAATTTAATTATCTCTACTCCACAACCCCCAAATTCACTTGTTCTCAGTTCCACACTGGGTAGCATCTTTATCTTAATCCCAGATGCTAGGGCTAGAGAATCTGATTGGCCCAGCATGGAGTCGGGAGTCCATGCATGCACCAACAGCTATGGCCAGGGCATAGGGTTACGTAGGACAGTCCTGACTATTGAGGCCCACACCTCAACAGTGGGGCAAGTTCTCTGAGAAGAATGGGTTGGGCACCTGCGGCAAAATGTATAAATGTGTATATATGAATTTTTAGGTTATTAAATAATAACTTGCACGTTCTAAAAAATAGCACAGTGGTA